CCTTAATGTTAATAGAAACCAGAAAGGTGTATAATTTTAATGCTTTTGTACTTAATAACGCCGTAAAAATCAACGTTGTACGATAATATTCATATCTACATACATACATACATATGTAGTACAGTTAAGTTTTTGTCTAACTATTTATCAAGAAAACAAAATACTACTTTTTATATGTACTACTACTAGTTTAGAATAAATGCATTGTAGTATAAATTAAGCTATAATATTTAGTGACTAATTGAATTGTATATACACCTGTACGACTACTTTTACTCAAAATCTATGTTTTGTACTCAAAAACAAAATTGCGAATGTTAACTTTTTAAATGTGCTATATATAAATGTAGTTTTATTGCGATAAATTTAAATTTTTATGAACGTAAATGCCTTAAAAAGTGTAAATAGAAATAATAAATAATTAAACCATAAAAAGGTTTTTTTTTCAAACACTGACTTTAGATAGATACTATTTTTTAGATTTAGCCAAGGCTCATTGAACAGGTGGTGTCAGTAGAGCAGCTGATTTGACTTCTCAAATTATTTGGTCTCGAAAATTTCAAATATTTTTAATTTATTTTCACAAAAATTCTAAATTGTTGAAAAAATTTGCATCTGAATCATTTCTCCATACAAAACAAGCTATTGAATAGGTTTGATATGCCTTGATCTTAACATGATAAAAAAATTCAGGCTGCCGCTGAGCGGATTTACCTTTAAATTGTTGTTTAATGGATTTTAGAATCAAAATGACATCGAGCCTATTTAACCGGTGACTTTTTACGCTGCCTGGAAAGCAGAGAAGTGCACCGATTTCGAACCGGATAAATCGCTGTTTTCCACTAATTAACTGAACCATTAACCAAACCGAAATTTTTCACAAATGTTTGATCGCATAAAGATTTAGTGTGCGTTTCGACCATTTTTTTATAGAAAAATTTTCCCCACTTTTTTAATATGATTATTCTATGTTTCTTTACCATCGGACAATTTTGTTTTACGAAGTATAGCATCCCAGCCGGAAATAAATCTGGATTTTGGACAAGCGCTGGTCATATTTGCTTTATTCTGTCCAAATAGTTTCAGAAAAGGAAAACTATCGAGGCGCTAGGCGCATAGGTAACGCTCGCTCTAAGCAGCCACTGTCCAGTTATTCTGGACAGCTTCCGTCCAGTGAACTGTCGAAGTACTAATCAGAATTTCCATACAGTCCCTAATGTAGCACCGAAACTGTTTATGAAATTAACTGTATATGAAATTGAAAATCGGATTCGGAAATCACTCCGAACCCAGCAGTAATTATCTCAGTTAGAAATTTCTTTGGTAAAGTCCAGGCTTCGAGAAAATCCTATTATGCGCCCGTTAAGTTTAATCTTCTCAGGCTTCTCATCCCAAGGTAAATGCACCATGGAAAATCTACTTAGCACCTGCATTGATTAGCCAAGTCAAGATATTGTCTGCTGGATGCGTCCAAAAACACTGTGAGAGAGAGAATTTCTCAAGAGTAAGGACTGAAGTTCGCACATGTATTCCCATATGCTAGACCTAGTGCAATTTCTAGTATAGATGAATTAGGAACACACACCTATCGCCCTGATACTTTGCTATTCTATCGCAGTCGCTTGCAAGAGCTTGTACTGCAGGTAAACTGCAATTAAAACAATTAGCTTATTTCTGTGTTCGTATGGAACAGTAGCGTATGACGAAAGACTGGCTTTAGTAACAACATGCGGCATTCGCAGCATTCGATTGTGAATGACTCGCTGGCGCCGAGCCGTTGAAGAACTTTTGGCAAATAAACGTGCAGAAATAGTTCCGATACTAGCAAGTCAATATTCTTATCAAGTCTCATCAAAGAATTTCTTGTCGTTTAAAGAATAAAGGGAATGACGCGTTATACTTAAAGCTAGCTTCCCGACATAAGCTACTATTCCATACGAACACAGATTTAATCTAAATATTCTGGGGTATGCAAAAACAAAATATTATGACATTTGCAACGTTTTGTTATGTTCATAACAAACTCAGAATTTATAAATCTGAAAAAGTGTAAAAATTGTCAAGAAAACTCATGAGTGTCTACGAACATGTACGATACACGGCGTATGAGTAACCTTCCTTTCTAATCATATCTACCCTACAAGAAAAGGACTTTTTTTCTGACCTCTTCACTAACACACTAAAATATACACCAATATACAGAAAAACATTTGTAAAAATAACCTTAGGAAATACAATAAGTAGAAAAGAGACCTTCTAGCACTGCTGGTAAAATCCCCATGCGAGAAAGGGACGCATAGTCACATCTACACAAAAGAACTGGTCAGGTTTTCCATATTACCCCCGAATTTCTGATGAGGAAATTGCAGCATTATTGCATCAGCACTGACCGTCAAGGGACCAGTCTTTTGCCAGTGAGATTTCTGGTAGGGAAGTAAAACTGTCAAAAAATAAAAATTCGCTCAGAGCGAGAGAGTAACATTGAAAAGTACGGGATCGCTTTCTAGTAAAAAAATGGTAACTTCTGTCAACTTCAACATAACCTCCAAATTTTGGTTGTAAATTTTTGCTTATTTTGTATTTGTTAACACACTAGCTCACACATGTAAATAACCAAAAATAATTTCAAATTCAATAGTCAGTGAACCGAGTACGGGATCGATTTCCAGTAAAATTTGACCGATTCTGACTATTTCTGACTAGTCCGGACTCGTACGGGATCGCAACTTATACGTTGTGGGCTGTGCGTTGGACTAAACAGTGAAAGGACTTGGCAGTAAGGCTTTATTTTTTTTTTTAAATAAATAAAGAAGGAAATGTTAACTAAAGCGGAAACAATCAAAGTTTCTTACGCCATCCGAAACACATCTCTGTTCCGCACAGTGTTGTGAAACGGAAGCACACGTTCTAAAGTATCTTTGAAGATAGTTGAGCAGAATAAATGTTCTGATACTCGTAACTATTTTGATCCCTCAATTTCTTCATTATAAATCTTTATATCTATCTTAGGAAATCGCGGCCTTCAAAACTAACAATTTATTTTATTAATCATGAATTGGTTCTTATTGCAACCCTGTCGTAGCACAGCTGTTCGTCATTATTTAATCAGCTGTGAGCGTGGAAAGCGAATTGTCAAAACGTGATTTGCGTTTATCTTCTACACTTTCAATCGGAATTGGAGTTCAAAATTAAAAATTTATTTCAAGGAATTTTGTTTTTAACGTTTAACAAATTTGTTTCGCACATTAATTTCAAGAATAGTCATTTTGGAAGAGATAACGAAAAAAAGAAGAAAATTCAAATTCAAAATTAGGAATGGCACACGCCACACCGCAGGTAAGGTACACCGCCATCCGTGGCAT